ACTGGGCTGCAGCTTCCTCTTTTATATGTTTTACAGTTGTGATCTCATTCAGGTGGTTACATTTCATTTCCTCAGTTCACATTACCCATGTACAAATTACAGTAAAAAGACAGTTAACTTTAACCCAGATGTAACAATTCCTTGTCGTTAGGGAGCTTAATATTCATCTAGCTATCTATTCTAGTGCACAGGAAGGGGTTGTTCAAGGCTAGGGATGAGGTCAGATGTCCCACTTCATGGTCAATGCCTCCTGTGTCTGTTAATTTTGAACTATACAAAGCAGATTGCTATTAGAGAAAGTAGAAGTCATTTTACATTTCCCTAACATTTTGTATGTTTTCAGATTATTTATAAAAGTTCTCTGTATCATTCCTCCCTTTGTTTTTAGGGTAATGCCTTAACGCTCATTGAATTCATACCAGTTATATTCAATGGATAGCTGAATAAGGGGTACATAGTAAGCTTTATTAGCTCTAAGGGCAGGTCACCCATGATGCCAATTGCCGGATAAATCATCATGGTGAGTGTTGCGCAAATCTAGCAATCAGAGGCCAGTTCCTGGTCTGCTGTAGCAGCAGTGAATGAGTTCCCTCAATTAAATCCATCATATCTACTTCTGTATAATTCTTTGGATGCCCTTTTAAGATATTTTGTATTTCCTGCAGCACAGGAGTTTTCCCTATTTCTGAAGGGGGGCTCTTCCAGACCATTTTAACCTGTAGAACCATCTTTTTAACCTCTGAAGCTCAAGCCTAGCAGTTGACTCATACCTAATATAAACATGAAAAGCTATCTTTTGTTGCCTCTTGTTTTCTAAGGCCAAGCCACACACAATTTTAAAGCATTACATTGTCCCTGTTTACAGTTATTCAATTGCTGATATTTCTGGTCACAGCAGAACTATTTAACCATATTTGAGTTTCATCTGAACAATGCATCATTTTTTGTGTATATCGCCTACAGCAAATAGGATACCAGGGTTTCCATAATTTTTTTTTTTTTGGACAGACATCAAAAAGAAGCATGAGTGGATGTCCCTCCAGTTCCCATTTAACAGTTTTAAAGGCTACATATTCTTTATCAAATTTTTCATCTTTAGGTTTATAAAGCCTTAATGCAAAAACAAAATAACGGGGTGAAGGGAGGATAGGGAAAGGGGAAAAAATGAGAACCGAAACTTGTCATGTAAAGGCACAAGATCCCAATAGTGAATGTAACTGTACTGTATACCTGAAATGTACCAATAAACTCAATTAAAAAAAATTCAAAACCATTTGACACAATAAAAGTCCATAATGTCTTGATTGCATTCCTCATTCTTCAGCCATGGCTGGACTCACCAGCTTCTGGTGTGGTGAGAGCAGGGCCTTGATTGTGTTGTCTCCTGGAGTTCTCAGTCACTTCACTCCAGAGTGGTGAATCCATAGTTGGATTTTAGCCATCTTGACAGCTGTGGGAGTAACTACAAGTGCCTCATATGGTCCTTTCCTTATAGGTCGCAAAGGGGTCTTTTGCTAATTTTTAACATAAACTCAGTCCCCTGAATTTATCTAATGGGCAGGGGTTAGCACAGGGAGGACCTCTTTATATGAGTATTTTATATCAGCTAGGGGTCTTTGTATCTCCATCTGAAGTTTCTGTTTAGCTGCCTTTTTGGCTTCTATATCTGCCTTAGCATTGTCTTTTGCTATTGCATCTTTTCCTTTTTGGTGGCCAGAGCAATGCATTACTGATACTTTACCAAGTCCCTACATTGTTTCCAATAACTGTATTACTTCCTTTTTATTTTTATTCTGTTTACCCTCCACTGCAAGAAAACCATGCTCTTTGCATGGATATGTAAAGTGACAAAGTCATATTGGGAATCTGTATGAACATTTACCCTCCTTCCCTTTTGCCCACTGGAGTACCTGTATAATAAGCGCCCAAAGCTTCACTCGCTGAGCTGACCATCTGGTGAGGAGGGGTCCTACTTGGATCATTTCATCTTGAGCTGCCACTGCATAGCCAGCATAGCATACCTCATTGTATATGAAGCTGCTCCCATTCATGAACAGGATGAAATCAGCACCAGGCAGCAGGGTTTGCCGCAGATCCAGTCGACTTGAGAACAACTCATCAGTGACACTGAGGCAGTCGTGGTCATGGGGCAGGTTTCAAGGGCAAGAAGGAAGTGGGATTCAAAGTTTTAACTGGAACAAAATGTAGGCAGAGATTCTCACAGATGAGGGCCTGATATTGTGTGACTCTCTTATTCAAAAGTCACTGATGTCCTCTGTTATTCAACAGTTGTAGGAAGGCATGGGGAACCTGAACAGTCAATCTTATCCTATGGCTAGCTTGTCAGCCTCCTTAATCAGCATAACTGCAGCTGCCAGAGATCATAAATAAGGGGGCCATTACTTTTAATAAACCTTTGTTTTCTACAGAAAAAATTATATTTTGAAGATGACCATTAAAAACATATCACAATAACATATTTAAAATTTAATCCTTTGATTATAATCAATGTAAACACTTTATTATAACATATTTAGCGATGTTTATTTGGGTTTATATCTTCACAGGCGGCTATGAAAATTACTGGGGCTCCATTACTGAGCAAAGGCCAGAATAAATTTTTCTGAGCAGCTGCCTTTTTACTTCACCAACAGGAGTCTATCCAAACTTAAAAGTTTATATTTAAATATCTGACAATTTTTTTAACTTATAAAACCAGGTTGTAGAAATTAACAATTTATTTGTATCTCTGATGTAGTTTTGATAAAAAATATATTTGGGCAAACACTTTCAAACAATTGGACAGATACAGACAAACATATAAAACAATTTATGAAACTAGTGTGCACTCAAATATATTTGACCAATTGATTTGTAACATCTCTTTTATTTAAGACTAGTCAAAACTTTTGGAGGTCAATTAACGAGATCTCCTATAAAATTAGAATCAGAAGGAATGAAAGCTCTTTATGACTATAAATGTAAACCTTTCATAAAAAACTTGAAACCAACAAGCAAACATACATATTTTCTTGATAAATCACTTCCGCATACCTCCTTAATGTACCTAGGCCTTCTGGTCTTGTATATCTTTCTTTATCCTTCTAACAAAACAAACATACAAAATCCTTTCATGTCAAAAGTATATCTCTTTTACTTATAGCTCTCTTAATATTTTCCACTGTCTCACTTACTATAAACTTGCTATATATAACAAACTTGTTTTCAGCTTTTAAAATTCTAAAGTGTCCCATTTTTTTCTTCTGTTCTCAGATTGCTACATTTTAAAATTTTACTGGCTGACAATAGAACAGTATTATCCTTAAATTCTTCATCAACAAAGCAATGAAAATAGCAAGTTAGCCCTATAATCACAATTCAAGAAGTTGCAGTACACAAGAAACAAATTTTTTAAGCACATTATTCAAACATCAACTCAAATTGAAACAAAGATACATTTATCAAACAGTTAAAATTTGTAACTTGCTTTCTCTTATAAAATCTCTTGATGTCTGGTAAAACACAGTTGTAGTTTCTCTGGCTTTGTTTTGGATTCCAGACCTTTGCAGACAGCATTAGGCTGATAACACAGTGCTGGCCTTGGTGCTCTTAAGCCTGGAGTATTTTTTCTCTCTATTTTGCTGTATGCTTTTCAGAGCTTTCCTAGCTGTTTTCAATCAAAGATTTATTTTCTCATTTTAGTTCTTTCTAATCTGAGTGTAATCCCTGTTCCATCCTATCTGAGCCTGACCATGGTTTACCATCTGCAACCCCCAGTGCAGTAAGGCCAAGCAATTCTCCTCGTATTTTTGCCCCTACCTCCTCTTGCACCTGTAATCTTAGCAACTCAAGTGGAAGGCAGCTTGACCTCCTCCAAAGCGATAGCACTGGGGTTTGCTTGTAAAAATGTCACAGTTTCTGAGAGAGGCAAGTCCTCAATGTGAAAAACAACAGATTTGGCAAGCAGTTGTTCTAAGACCAAAACTACACAGTTCTCATCAGCAGATGATTGCCATGGAGCAGGAGTTGAAGAGGCTCCCAGATTGGGTTGTTCAGCCTCCAAAACAGAGCACACAAGGCTCCAAGTTATCAAAGTCTCAGTTAAAAACAAAGGGAGATAGATAACTCTTCCTTTGTCTAGAGTTTTTTTGGGGGATCAATTCTGGCTTAGCTGAGGCCACATGGCTTCCTGAGTGTCTCTCGGTCTTAATTTTACCCCACCCTCCCCCACAAAGCCTTTATCAAAATTCTGAATTATGCACTCAAGAACAGTTGGTTTAGCATTTGCTTGTCCCATGATCACAAGATATTCCCTTGTCCAGTGACACAGAATAAAGGGTGGGTATCGCTCACACACATGCCACTCTGGTTGTGGGGTCTCTCAACCACTATCAGCCACGTCAGAACTAAGGGACACTGTTGCATTAGTGTTCCATTTTGTTCATATTAGAAGCTGGCCACAGAATCATGGAAACGGGCCACACACAAGCTCCGCAATTTGGGGAGCGATCTTTAAGCAGAAGCAAACCCTTGCCTTTGTCTTGGTGTACAGAAGAGGCTACCGATTGCTTTCATACCTCGTGCCACTCACTCTCCTAACTGAATCTCTTTCACACACACAGTCACACAAGAAGTTAACACATTCCCTCCCTAGGGCCCCTTACAAAGCACAACGTAAAGCACAATAACCAACTGAGGGCAATCAAAACCCTCACAAATGGCAAAGAGTAAGGATGATTAGGCCTGCACTCTATATTTTGCCCAAATTGAGGATTTCCTCACAAATGGCAGAGAAGGGAGGCTAATCAGGCCTCCTATCTGTAATCTTCCCAAACTTCAATTAAGAACCAAAACAAGGGCCGGGGATTTAGCTCAGTGGTTCCACTGCCTGCCTTGCAAGCACAAAGACCCAAGTTTGATCCCTGGTAAAAAAAAATAAAAAACAACAACAACAACAAAAAAGAAGCAATACAAACTAGGGGTTTCCCAGTGAATCTCACCATTCAGATGATTTCACTCACTTGCCTTCCTTCTGCTGTCTCTGAGCAATCTACTGCCTGGGATCTTGCCTGCAAGTCCTAGAAAGGGAACCCAGGAAATCCCAAGGGCATGCCTCTTCCCTTCTGAGGAAACAGGTGGCTGCTCCCTCCAGTAGGACTCAGGTCAGAGCCCAATATGAGCCATGTCAGTTAACCCTTTCCTTCCTGGCCAATGCGCCAAATGCTGGGGAAGGAATTGGCAAGGGAAAGACACAGAGAGACAAGCTGAATGGAAGTCAGATAATACAAAGTTTATTTTGTCAACAAAAGGTCAATCACACTAAGAGAAGCACCAGTGTTTTACAGCTATGATCTCGTTTTATTTTCTCAGATCACATTACCCATGTGCAAATTACAGTAATAAGACAGTTAACTTTAACCCAGATGTAACAATTCCTTGTTGTTAGGGAGTTTACCTTAAGAATCATCTAGCATTTATTCTAGCACACAAAAAGGGGGTATTCAAGGTTAGGGATGAAGCCAAATGTCCCACCTCATGGTCAATACCTCCGGTGTCTGTTAATTTTGAACTAAACAAGCAGACCGCTGTTAGAGACAACATAAGTCATTTTATATTTTCCTAAAATTTTGTAGGTTTTTAGATTATTTACAGAAGTGCTCTATATTAATTTGGATTTTCTAGAAGTTTAATAAGTGACAGCATACAGCTTTTGACTAACTTCTTCATTCAGAAAATTTACTTTGAGAATCATGTTTAAGGTACTATGTGTTGATGGAAAACTAATTTTCATTGCTGAGTAATATGCTATTTTATGGAAAAATACTAGATGCTATTTACCCATTCACTTGTTTTTAGGTATTTCAGTTGTAATTTTTGTAAATTTCTATATTAAATATATTTGGTTTCACTTTCCTTGTGTAAAAATATACTAGTGAAATTTATGGTCATATGGTATGGTTATACTGAATTAAAAAACAAAAACTGCCGGACCATTTTCCTCCACATACCAATGGACTCTCCATGTGATCAGAATACTTTATTTTACTAAGTATTCCACTAAGCATTTAGCAATAAATCACTACATTATCTCCTTCATGAGTGTGGTTGATTAACTAATAGTCATCTTGGAACATCCAACTGAACTGAATCAGCATAGTTGAGTGTGGAAGATCCACCTGAGGGTTGTTACCGAAGGGGTAAGAAGAGAGCTGTAAGTGAAGATCATAGGCTATTGAGTCTCTAGGAGAAGCTAGCTGTGGGTGGTTCTCCTAACGGAAACTTGACTGTTTTCTCCTTAGAGGAGCTCGGGGCCTCCCTGTCACTGGAAATGGCTGCTGTTCTCCTCCGGGCAGCCCTGATCTTCACCCTGAGTGTCACTTCCTGACTCCAGGAAGACTTGCTTCCAGGCTTCAGCCTGGTGGCACGAATATGTCACCCTACTGGCACAGGTTTTTCTGGCTTCGGCCACTGGCCTTTGGGTCTTCCAAGTGCAGACATGGACGAATGTGAGACATTGCTTTGTTCTCAAGGCCACTGGCTGCACTCCAGGCCTTCAGCTGGACTTATGTGGGACAGTTGGCTGGATTCTTTGGTTCTCTAGTGTGTGGCTAATCTCTTGCGGTCCTCTGTATTTAGCTTTTTGGGTGACTATTATGAAATAATTCTATAAATTAAGTGTCATTATTAAAATCTATTTCCCTTGCAAACCCTGACTACAGCAGTAACTAATGAACATCTTTTTCCTGTGTTTATTTCTCATCTGTGTATCTTTGGTGAAGATACTCCACACATACTTTGCCCATTAGTTATTGTTTTGATTTCATATTTCACTTGAAAAGATTATATAATGTAGATGTAAATATATCTTTCAACATATGTATACATTGCAAATATTTTATCTTAGTTGGAGGCTTTTCTTCATATTCTTTTAACAATATCACTCAAAGAGCAGGTATTTATTTTTGATGAATCACCATTTATGAATTTCATCTTTTGTGATTCATGCCTCTGATGTCATAAGCAATTTTTGCCACCCCAGAAATGTATAGAAGTTTTTTATTACCGTATTGTTATGCTCAAATTTTATACTTTTATATTTTTCCTTTATATGTTTACATTTATATTTATAATGAGGTATAGTTCTCCAATTTTGTTTACATATTTTAAAGTTATTTTAGCTTTCCTATATCCTCTATATCCTCAAATCCCACACGAAAAAGTTGGATAAGTGTTTTAATTAGGATTTTGTTGAACCTATGGATTAATTTTGGAAAATTTGCTCTCCTAAACATTTAGACTCATGAAGAAAATACTGCACCTCTTTCTGCTTGTTCAGATCCTTAATAATTTTCAGTAACCTTTTGCAGTTTTAAGTCCTCGACTTTAACATATTTTGTGAAACTTCTCTCTAGATATTTCATATTTTTGATAAAATTATGAATGGTGTTATTTTTGTAATTTTTACTTTGTGATTTTTCATTACTAATATCGAGAAATATAATTCACTCTTTCATTGATCCTGTGTTCTAAAACCTTGCTAAAATAGCTTCTTAGTTCCAGCATCTACTTGTATATTTGACCAAATTTTTCTTATATGTTATGTGCTCTTACTTTTTATCTTTTCCAATCTAAATATCTTTCATTCCTTTTTTCTTTTCACTAGCAGATAGCCTAGAATTTTTAGTAGAACAGAGTGACAAAAATAGACATCTTTCTCTTAGTTCTTGTGTTTTTGTTACTTTCTCTCCTTGCTGAAACAAAACATCCAACACCCAAAGTTAAAGGAGAAAAGGTAGGCCTGGGGATTTAGCGCAGCATTTCGGTGGCCTGCCTTGCAAGCGCAAGGACCTGAGTTCAATCCTCAGTATCAAAAAAAAAAAAAAAAAGGAGAAAAGGTTTTTGGCTCCAAGGCAGAGTTGCATGGCAGGGTGATAACGCAGAACAAGAAGAAGGCATCAAGCAACAAGCAGCAAGTAATGCACTAGATCTCTTTCAGTCCCTTCTATATATTTTTAACCAGGCTACCCACCCTTAGGGCAGGCACCACTCATAGCTAGGGTGGGGTACTCTTAATCCTACCTAGAAGTATGTCAAAGCAATCAGTGGACTAATGTACTAATCACACGCCCTTAATGCCAGCATCACGTACTCTAGATCCAGCCACCTCTGAAAAAGCCCTACCTACAATGGCATGAAGTTTTGGCAGACATTGAGACACAAGCCATAATGTCTTAGAAGAAACTATTTATTCTTTCCAAATATACACATAATCTACTAAAGATGAACACAACATTCTTCAGTAAGAATGATGTTAGCTGTCGTGGGGTTAAAAATATTCACTTTTCCTCCAAATTTGCTTCATTGTGTTTATCAGTAATGAAGAACCAACTTTGCCAAAAGTTCTTTCTGCATCTGTACATTAATCCTGTTTTTTTCTTACTTTTTAGATCATCAATAAAAAGCATTATATTTACTGATTTCCACAAGTTAAATCAAACTTTTAATTCTTGGAAAAATCTCACCTGATTTTTCTTGTATTCTGATTGTATGTGTCATCAAATTTGCTAAGCATTCTGAGCAAGTAGATTCTTGAAGAATAGTGTTCCTTAGCTTTCTTTTCATTTAATATTCTGCATATGTTTGATATCAAGGCCTCAGACCTGACTAAAAAAAAAAGATTTTGAAATCCTGGAGGAACTTTCACTGAATTGGTGTCTTCTCTCTTTCCCAAAATTTGCATGAATTCACCAGTGAAGCCACTTGAGTGTTTTTGGTGGCAAGATCGGCATGGAATCCTCTTACAAGGATTATGGGGCTAAGAAAGTCACCTATTTATCTTCGAGTGAGCTCTGCTTAGTAATGGCTATTAAATTTTTTTTTCATTTTGGATAAAATTTAAAATTATATTCAAAGTTTTCTCTCATTGTCTTTTCTTTTCCTCATTGAGTTTATTGGTACATTTTAGGCATACAGTACAGTTACATTCATTATTGAGATCTTGTACCTTTCCATGACAGATCTTGGTTCTCATTTCTCATTGTCTTTTGAAATATAAACAATTTGTTTTTCTGCCTTCTCACTCCTGAATTAGAAGATTTTGCTCCTTCTTTTTCTGATTTGTTTGCCTAGGAGCTTAATAACTGTATTGATCTGAAGATAATGATTTCAACTTTTATTAGTTTCCTTCACTGTTTGTTTGTTTTTTATACTACTCTCCATTTAGTATTTCCTTTCTTCTACTTACAGCTAATTTGCTCTTCTATTATAGTTTCTTAAAGTGAAAACTGGAATTATTGATTTTAGGCCTTTCTTTGTTTCAAATATAGGAATTCATTCCTATAAATTTTATCTAAATAACTACTTCAGAGATGCCCAACAAATCTAGCCAGATTGTGTTTTGTTTTCTTTCAGCTCACAGTACTTTGTAATTTTGCTGTTAATTTCATCATTGAAGCAAGGATTACTTAAAACTGATACATTTATTTCCAAACTTTTGGGAACTATGCACAAATGTTCTTATATTAATTTGTATTTAAATTACTTTCTGAATAAAGAACATACTTTCATTGATTTGAGTGTTTTTAATTTATTGAGACTTTTTCCATAGCTCAAGATGTGATCTATCTTGGTAGTCAATGTGCTCTTGAAAATAATGTATAATCTGCTGTTGTTAGGTGGAGTGTCCTATAAATGTCAAGCCAAGCTGATTGATAGTGCTATTCACATCTTCTGTGTTCACACTGACTTTCTGTCTATTTGTTCTAATTTTAGTAGATGTGCTGCTGAAGTGAGCACTCTGTCTATTTGTTCTATGACTTTTGGAGTATTGAAATTTCTGATTGTAATTTTGGTTTTATTCTATTTCCCCATTCTATTAGTTATTTATATCTCTTAATTAGCTGCATAAACCTTTGTAAGTATTGTGTCTTCCAGTTTTATAATGACCTTGCATTTCTTTCTCCCTTTGTCTCTTTTTTGGTTCCTTCCTATCAACTGAAGTTTCTATAATTCGGTTTTAAGTCCTTTTTGGATAATATTTGTAACTGTTTTATTATCTCATTGTTTTACCA